GAGATAGAGAGGTTTGTTGAAGAATATTTGTGTCTTTCTCATTTCTATCGCACAGAGATTCTCGGAAAATATGGTACAATGTTTAAAGTTGACCTTGTTTGCCAACCTCTTCACCGTATCTTCTGAATTGGTCAGTCTCACATCGACTCGTTTTCGAATGTTTTCCATGGTTTTTCCGTAAACAGCATTGTTCATCAACTTGAAAAAGTCTTTCTCAAAATCATTGTCCGCTTTGGCTCTCAACTCTGTGTTGAGATCAATGTACGGTTTCATCCAATGACTCTCATTGAATTTGATTACGCGGTGAATCTTTCCAATCTCCACTCCCAGAGATTTATACATCTTCAATGTTTCATGATGAATAATGTACTTTTTCTTTTCGTTCAATGTGCACACCAGCTTTGGTACTTTGTTGATCATCAGATTTTCAGGAGCTGGTGGATAATGATCAAAATAATCCAGCTTTTCTTCTTTGATGGGGAGCAAATCAACTTCAACAATGCATGAACATTTTTCCCACTCGTTGAAGTCTTTCTCATCCATCCATTCAAAACCACCTGTGGGTAGTTTCTTACTCATCGCCCAACCGTAGAGGTTGTTTGCATCGAGATATGTGATGAACTTTGAAGGTTGAGCAGGATCAAATTTTTCACCCATGTATTTGTTGTTGGCTTTCGAATATCTTGTTGGAATCATGCTGACACCACCACGGATACCTTTTTCAAACATGTGCAACATGTTGATATCACTCAACAACTCAAGCTTTTGTTTAGTCCGTTTGAGACAAGCATCCCAAGCCAAACCCGGTGCTGTGAAATACCAACAAGGATCGAGACCATAATTTGCTTTGCAAACTTTTCGAAAGTTTTCAAACACATCGGCCAGCAAAAGAACGTCACTTTGATTGTAAAGTTTGAGGTAATCTCTGAACGTTTTCATTTCAAAGGTTTTCCATACTTTATGTGAATGACAAGAACCTTCTTCAGAGATTCCCACACCACTCAATGAAGAGAACCATTTTTCAATGGGTGGAAGTTCAGTCTCATCAGGCTTGTGGATAGAATCCAACCATTCATAAGGAAATTCACCTTTTCTCTTCAACAGTTCAAGCTTCTCACCGGTATGGTATTTTCCTGTGTTTTCCAAGGTGTTATCTTTTTTGACGAGATTTTTGACAAGCTTGTCGAGACTGGAAGCCATGAATTTGAAACTGTCGATGAATCTCAACTCTCTGTTGATATCAACCCAATAACCTTTTGTTTTATCAAAAAACTTGCCAACTTCAATCTTTTTGGTAAAACTGATGTATTTTTCTTCATTGTTTGGAATACAATTAATGTCTCCTTCTGAAACACCAAGATTTCGGATGAAGAGATGTGCATCGTAGTTTGCCAAGTTGTGAAATACAACGGGAATGAATTTTGATTGTCGAGTTGACAGGTTGCAACTGTTATGTGCTGCTCCTCGAAATTTGCCTGTGTGATGACAATGATCACGAACTATTGTATCACCCTTTTCAAATTCTTCTTCACAAATCCAACAACACGTTGCTTTTTCAAAGATTTCAGCATCACTGTCTGTAAAGATCATCTTTTTTGGAGGATGGTTTTTGTATATCGCTTTTACTTCTTCTTCAAGCATGTTGACAAATATCTGTGCAACATCCTCGTCTTCTGACTTTGCCGTGTATTCAACCAGATTTGAATATTGATCATCAAATGAGCATTTGATGTAGTAGCAAAAACTTACCGGAATATGCAATTGCTTTTTTTCAGTGTAACACTTTTCAGGAAACGGTTGAGCAGAGTTCAAAGGTTTAAGGATTGATTCAAAGTCGGCATAGATGACAAACGGCACGTCTATTTTTCTGTTATGGTTTTTGAAAAAGAGAAAAGTTTCATGTTCTGACATCTTTTCTCTCACAGCATCATGATCTCGGCACAACTCGTCGTGTGTATTGAGAAGTTTCTGAGAACCGAAATAATTGAGACATCTCCTGCAGATAAACTTCTTATGTTCATTTTTTGACAATTGACTCGATATGAGTCGACTCAATGATTTGATGAGGCAGTAATGCTTTTTCTCTCCTTCAGAGATGAGAAGAAGATCAATATGTGTATTGATCTTTTCGATCTTGCTCACTCTCAAGGGTTGGAGTTCTCCTTCATAACTGAAAACGTTGACAGCGATACCCGGATTCAATGTTTCAAAGCGGTGAATATCTTTCACCTCCATGGGAAACTTGATCCCATCCCATTTTAATTTTTTTGCCTGCTCTTTTAAAATCTTTGTGATGCGCTCTTGATCTTTTTTCACGGGATTCAACGCTCTCGTGACGCACCATTTAAAACACTCATTGTCCTCATTTTTCATGTTGACAATGGCCTTCTTTTTTGCAAGGCATGGATCTAGCTTGATATAGCTTGAACCTTTTAAAGGTTTATATTCTATCGTGTGTAAATCCAATCCTGCAATCGAATCTAAAGTCCAACCACTTCCATTTCTTGTCCACTTTGCCATGTTTTCCATCATTTTGACAACACTTTTGTTATAAATGTCTTCTCGGTCGGTTTCTTGAAAGATGCTCTCTTGGTAAGAATGAAAATATGTAAGCTGTATCTCAGTCTCACCCGTATCAATTTTTGTCTTTGCCATATTACACCTCAAAACGAACTCTATCTTGATATTTTTCTGTGTTAACAGAAACTTGATAACGGTCGGTTTTACAGCTTGAAAAAAATCTATCAATCCATATCCCTCTTCCCCATCAATCGTGTACATTTTTGCAATATGTTTCTTTAATGAATTTCTCTCGACAAGATTGAAACGATGCTCGTCTCTTTTGTAGAGTTTAGCGATATGTGCTTTGAAATCTTTTAACTCGTCATCAATCACGATACGTGGTACATCATTCTCTTTCAACCATTTCCCCAATCCTCTACCTTTTTTTTCCCCCATTTAACAACCTTGTCAATCTTTTTTACCAGCTTTGCTGGCTTTGACGTTTTCATGATTTTCTGTCCCTTTGGAATCTCATGTTTAGGAATCGGATCATCAAGCAGTGTCCCTCCTGCTATCTCCGCAACTTTCACCTCAATGAAATTATCAATTCTTCTTGGTCTCGACAGCTCGATGAACTCAATGAGATCTTTCCCCACAACTTCCTCCTCTTCAACAACCACAACACCTTCGTAATCATCCTTTGTTGACTCTTCAATATGCGCAATAAGTTCGGCTTTTCTCAAGCGTGAATAACCTTTTAATCTGAGGCTTTTTGCGAGTGCTTTTAATTGAAGCACTGTTTGTGTATTCAGATCTGACATATCTAACTTTGTATGTATTTTATTCAATGACAATATTTTTTTTTGTTTAATAATTTTTTTAAATCAAATTTTTTCATTAAAGAAAACTATACCAAAAATTTTACTCAAAATTTAACTTAGATTTTTCTAATTAAAAAAAGTTCAGTCAAAATCTCAGTCAAAATTTTGACTGAGATTTAAAATTTTGACTGAGATTTATGTGAGATTTTTTTAATTAGAAAAATCTCAGTCAAAATTTGGGCGAAATTTTGGGCGAAATTTTGGGCGATAATTTATGCAAATTTATGCAAATTTATGCGAAATGCGCCAAAACCGGCTAGAACCCTACTACTTAAGAGGGAACTCTTGACACAATGGTTCAATGTTATGTTAATAAAACAAAAGGTAAACACCACAATTTGTTCATAGTTCTGCTGAACTCTTTCACCGGTTGTTGGATACAGAGCTTATAAAGAGGATTTTGGTCAGTATTTCAGGAAGCGTGATTAAACTTTATCATTTATCTTTAACTTTATTTTTGGACTCAAGAAGCTAGAGTCGCACGAGGCGATAGCCGAGTGCGACTCTTACGCTTCTTTCGTGCTTAGCAACCTCCCGCGTGCATCCATAACTCAATAGTACACGCTATG